GGGGAGGGGGTGACCACAGCACCCCTGACCATGGGGCCCTGGGTGGTCACCCATTTGCCCACCTGTAAGGCCAGTCCTGCCCCCCCTGAAGTGACACCTCCCCCCCACACCATGCCACCTCACTTCTGCACTGCTGCTGCTGGCAGTGTTGCTGCCTTTAGAGATGGGCTCCCGGCCAGCAGCCACCGCTCTCCAGCTGTCCAATTCTGTAAAATCTGGTCTCCTCTACAATAGTCAGATTTCACAGGGGAGACCAGATTTCATGGTCCGTGACATGTTTTTCACGGCTGTCAATTTGGTAGGGCCCTACTTATATATGCACCTGTAAACTCAGTTTTTCTACAATGCATGTCTAATGCACAATTTCAAAGGGTCAAAAGATAAACAGAAATTAAAGGAACAGCCAAAGGCAGCTGATGGTAGATGAGCTGAGGGGGTTAAGAAGGATATAAAGAAAAATTAAAGGGAGCGAGGGAGGGAAGAGAAAGTTTCCACGAATTTATAAACAATACAGGCAGTTTTGAAATGGATTCTAAAATAAATGGGGAGTCAGAGAAGATATGGGTTGAAGCAATAAGTCTCCTTGTTGTGTATATGAAAAGATGAGGTACCACCTGTGGAATCACAAGCACTTTTGGTTTTCTTTAACCGTGGCCAAGGATCGAGCTTGCTTATGGTGTCCTATGAGATCACGGCTCATAGCTGTATAGCTGCATTTTAGAGTTTGATCATAGTAGCAAAGATAAAGAAACTTCAGTTGGTAGGAAGCAGCAGCAATGTCTGCACAGAAGGGGAAGGGGGTGAAATGGGGCCCAGCTGGGGCCCCGGCCACTCCTTCTCCCAGCACCCCTCCTCCAAAATCCAGAACTGTGCAGCAGAAAACTCCCTCTGGGGGCATAAGACACAGGTGATACCTTTCTAACCTTCCACTCTGCCATGTGGCCTTGGGGGAAACTGCAGGGAGGAACCAGCCTCAGACTAGCCAGTAGGAGCAAGCAGCTGCAAAAGCAGGAGCTTTCAGACACTCAGAGAGCTTTCTATAAGTCTCACTGGACTTTCCTGCCCTTTGTTATTGGTCATTTGCTCCAAACCCGCCTCCTATCTCAGTCTCTTCCCCTCAGTTTCACTCCTATCCCTCTTACTCTCTTCTTCCCTGCCCTCCTCAACCCTCTTCCCTTCAATGTCCCCCCTCCCTTCACTTCTCTTTACATTTAGCTGTTCCCCTCCAAACTAACTGCACTGTCCCCAGAATCATGGAATTAACATAACGTTTGTTCCCACCACATTGTTCACTCTGCTTGTGTTCTACCCCTTCCCCCACTCTATGTCCGCCCTGCCTATTTAGACTGTAAGCTCTTCAGGGCTGGGTCCATCTACTATTCTGTTTGTACAGTGCCTAGCACAATGGGGCCCCATTAGGCACTGCCCTAAAAACGTGCTCATCATTATCATGGAGATACTCTTTTGGGGGCATTTAATAAACAACACACATACAAGGTGACAGAGTAATAAGATATAAACTTTAAGCCTGAAGAAGTAACAGTAAACTTGAACAACATTTTTTTGAATGGCACCCTTAATCTAGATCTGGTTGAAGGCAGTAGTAACAATAACATTTTTATTGCCTAATGAAAAATAAAAAAAATTAAATTCTTTGGGCCAGATCATCATCTGGTGTAAAATGTCAGCTCCACTGAAGTCAATTTACACCAGCTAAGGATCAGTTCCTTTTATTTTTATCCATAGCTAGCACTGCCAATGCAAACTAGATCAAATGAACTGATGTTTTAAACCAAATTTATTTACATTCGGCAAGAGTTACCCAATCAATACATAAGGATATCGTACACAAACCACAGTGTGTGTACACACACACACACGGAGTTTAATTTTGTTTAAAGAGAAGAGAGTCACAATTTTTGAACAGCTGTAAACTACTGGATGGATTAGGTTTTAAAGGAAATGGCAGCTTATGCCTCATTTTTTCCCCAAGCAGCTGTTATTTCTGTAAGTGAGGTTTCCAACAATTCTCTGCTTGATTAAGTTTTGGCTGTCTGACAGCATAGAAAGGTACAGTAATTCTATATTATAAGGTGCCAACCATCATAAATTTTAAATGTATATCCCTACACTACAAGATGTGTGTCACTCACTTTTACTTAGTACTAAATTTGATTAGCTACTGCTCTGGCCTTTTCCTTACAATAGTAAATGAAGTTAGATACTTTCTGCTTCAAAGCTTGCAAAATATACTAGCAAGGTAGATGTCAGAGATGTGTCTAGTAGTACCCAAAACAGGAAAAAAATGCAAAATGTTAAATAGGGTTAAGTCATCATCCTATTCTTTTAGCCAAACAGCTGTAATCTATACTGAAATGCATAATATTTACAACGCAACTCGCAAGATCAGATTTTTGCAAAGAATGCTCATTTACCTAATGCAATGCTGGAGGGGAAAAGAAAGTATCCTGCCAGCTGTGTGCAAATTCATCAGCATTCCAAATGGAAATACAAACATAATCCCACTTAGCCAAATCCTGTTTAACGAAAACACTTGTTAAAACACAAGATTTGATTGTGTCTCTGGGACTGAATGCAGCCCTGTATTCACACCCTCCACACAACTGTAATAATCTTTGTACAAAACATACCTTGTGAGGTATCATTTGAAAAAACTAATAACCTGCTGGTCTATAATATCCTGGTGAAATGTATGTAGCAACATTATACGTAAAGTTATGAACATAAGCTGAAATATAACTGAAATGTGTTTACCAGACAAGTTTGGGGATGGCATAAACCAGTTCCTCAAAGACAAGCTGATGCCTCTAGCCCGGTGTCAACATTGATTGGCAATCACCTGTCAAGTGGCCATTCTTTGGCAAGGAAGGGGGGCAGGAACAGATTGATCTGCATTTTAACAAACAACAACATGGAACCTCTTTCACCATGAGCCTTCATCCTCGCAGCAGGAAAGAACTTTATCTAGGGGTAACGCTTAGCAGTGCTGGCTCCAGGCACCAGCCGAGCAAGCTGGTGCTTGGGGCGGCAGATTGAATGAGGCGGCATTCCGCCCAATCCTAGGGTGGCACGGTTGCTTTTTTTTTTTTGCTTTGCCGTTCTGGCCGCCCCGTATTTTTTTTTTTTGTTTGCTTGGGGCAGCCAAAAAGCCAGAGCCGGCCCTGACCCTTAGGAAAATTCATTCCAAAGAGTGACTGGACAAGAATGCCCCAGGTATTTTTTCTCTCTCTCTCTCTTTCACCTAAGGTGACAAAAGAACCAGCCTTTTGACTTTGGAAGGAATCCTGACATGAAAATTTGGTTAGAAATGTTGCTGGGAACATGTGGTAAGGATTTTACCTTGAACTAAGTCTAGTTTGTTAAGTTTTAGTTACTAGAAAGCATTTTACCTTTATTTCTCTTGTAACCATTTCTGACTTTAATGTCTTACACCTGTCCTCACTTAAAGCCTCTCTCTTTGTAATTAAATAAACTTGCTTTCTTCTTTATTCAAAACTAATCCAGTGTTGTGTTTAAAATGAACTGTTTGGGTAACTCTAGTTAAAGTAGCAAACTATTGCATACTGACCCCTTTATAGGGTCAATAGACCTTTTATATCTGAACTGTCCAGGAGAGAGCTGAAGAGTGCACAACACGTGTTTTTGGGAAAATTCAGAACTGGGAGTATGTTGGGGTCACCCTGCAAGTGGTAACCAAGGCTGGTGGAAATCAGAGTCTGACTGGGGTGTTGCTGGCAGGCTGCAGCTCTACACAGACACTCAGAATGTGATCTGCATGTTGTTTGGCTGTTTGTGAGCAGCCCAAGTTGGGAGCTACTGCAGGAAAGCATTGTGAGGCACCCAAGGCTACAGGGAAAATGGTGATGCAAACCCTCACTAGTCTAGATTGCACTCTGGAATATGATAGTCCCCCAAGATTTACCGTGCCTCCCCAGCAATACTTTGTGTCTTCAGTTGCAAACCTCAAATCTGGAGTGCAGATGCCACATCCTTCTCCTGCTACCCTAACTGAACTTGCCTAAGTTGCTTGGATG